AAATATGTGCTTTAGATAGTCGCATTTTTGCATATGATATTTTACCTATGATTTTCGTCAAAAAATGGCTTTTTTTTGCTTTTATGTTTTTGGGCAAAAATAATCTTGAAATAATGTGTGGGGATCTTTTCGATCGAAAAGAGACATTGTTTGTCTATAAAAATTGTTTCTTTAGATAGTCGCATTTTTGCATATTTTCCAAAGGGGTTAGTTAACCCATGATTTTGGTAAAAAAAATCGCATTTTTTTCATTTTATGTTTTTGGACAAAAACAATCTTGAAATAATGCTTGGGGATCGTTTCTAGGTTATAAAAATAGGCTCTTTAGATAGGCGTATTTTTTCATATTTTCCAAAGGGGTTAACCCATGATGGTGGTCAAGAAATGAACTTTTTTTTATTTTCTGTTTGTAAGCAAAAATGATCTTAAAAAAATGTTTAGGGATCTTGTCGATAGAGAAGAGTGATTCCTAGCCTATAAAAATATGCACTTTAGTTACTTACATTTTTGCATATTTTCCAAAGGTGTTAACCTATGATATTGGTCAAAAAATGGCATTCTTTTTTCTTTTCTCTTCTTGGGCAATAATAATCTTGAAATTTTGGGGTGGGGGGGGGGGGAATCTTTTCGATCGAAAACAATCATTTTTAAATTTCTTCGTCCTTCCTTTTTGGCCAAAAGAGCCAAGAAAACGTGTTTATGAAAAAACCTTTCCAAAAAAGTAAAAACATACACTTAACACGGTCCTTAGGAAAAATGAGCGAAGAAGAAGTGTTTATGAACTTTCTATATCGAAAAAACCCTTCCTAGACTAGTAAAAACATGTACTTAACAAGGTCGAAAAATTTGCATAATAGCCCATGGCTTTTGTCAAAAAATTGATATTTTTTTAACGGTTCTTTTAAAGCAAAATGTGCCGAGAAAAATTTTTTATAAATGCTCTATATCGAAAAACCCTTTTCTAGAATAGAAAAAACATGAACTTAAAAAGGTCGCAAACTTTGCATTTTTACGAAGGGGTTAGCCCATTATTTGCTGTTAAAAATTTGAAATTTCCTTATCTCTCCTTTTTTTGGCCAAATTAGCAAAGAAAAAGTGGTGAGCGTTCTATATCGAAAAAACCCTTCCTAGGCTAGTAAAAACATGAACCAAGAGAGGTTAGTCAATGGTTTTTTGTCGAAATTTTGAAATCTCTTCATTTTTCCTATTTTGGCCAAATGAGCCACAAGAGAGATAGTCTGCTACACAGCCGTTTTTAGTGTCGTCACGCAATGCTCCTCCCCACTAGTGGGGAGGAGCGTTGCGTGACGACACTAAAAACGGCTGTGTAGCAGACTACAAGAGAGAATGATCTAGTTCATTTTCTCTTGTGAGCCAAGAAAAAAGGTTTATGAACGTTAAATTTCCAAAAAAAATCCTTTCTAGACTGATAGAGATATGAACTCAAGAAGGTGGCAAAATTTGCATTTTTCTAAGGGAGTTCCTCCACGGTTTCTTGAAAAAATTTTGAAAGTTTATTATCCTTCCTTTTTTGGCCAAATGAGCCAAAAAAGTGTTGATGGACGTTCTATAATACTGCAAATACCCTATCTAAAATAGCAAAAACATGAACTTAAAAAGGTTGCAAACTTTTACAGAGGGGTTAGTCCATGGTTTCTTGTCAAAAATTTGAAATTTTCTTATCCTTCCTTTTTTTGGCCAAATGAGCTAATAAAAGTGCTCTTGAACGTTCTATATCGAAAAAGCCTTTTCTAGAACAGTAAAAACATGAACTTATTAAGAAGGTTGCAAAATTTGTATTTATCCAAAGGGGTTAGTCCATGGATGTTTGTGATAAATTTGAAATTTCGTCACTTTTTTTTTTTGGCCAAATGAGCCAAGAAAATGTGCTTTTGAACGCTATATTCGAAAAAACCTCTTCTAGACTAATAGAAATATGAATTTAAGAAGATGGCAAAATTTGCATTTTTCCTAAGGGGTTAGTCCATGGTTTCTAGTCAAAAATTTTTGAATTTCTTAATCCTTTTTTTAGATAAACTGAAAGACGAATAAGTGTCTATGATGGAAAAAGACCCTTTCTAGATTAGTAAAAGCATGAATTTAAGAAGGTCGCAAAATACGCATTTTTTTCAAGGGAGTTAGTCCATGGTTTTTGACTAAAATTTTAAATTTCTTTATGCTTTATTTTTAGGCAAAATGTGCCAAGAAAAGGTGTTTATGAACGTTTTATATTCAAAAAACCCTTTCTTGAATAGTAGAAACATGAACGTAAGAAGGTGGCATAATTTGCATTTTGCATTTTTTTCCACAGTTTTTGTTAAAAATTAGAAATTTCTTAATTCTTTCTTTTTCGGAAAAATGAACCAGAAAAAGTTTTAATTTAACTTCTATTTCTAAAAAACCCCTTTTAGAATAGTAAAATCATAAACTTAAGAAGGTGGCAAAATGGGTGGTTTTTGTCACAAATTGGAAATAGGCTAGTCAGTCCATCGTTTTTGAAAAAAATTGCTAATTTCTTTATCCTTTTCTTTTATTCAAAATGGTCAAGGGCAAAGTGTTAGTTACGTCCTATCTAGAAAACAAGACTTTTTCAGACTATAAAAACATACATTTTAGAGGTGTAATAATTGGCATATTTCACAGCAGTTCCTAGCAATATTTAAATCGGAAAAATGAACGTATGGTAAAAGGAAAATGGCCGAACGACAGGATCCTGATTTCGCGTTTGCCCCCTTTATTTTCACGGTGACATACAGGGACTCGCGATAATATGACACTTTTTTGGCAGGAAACGAGCCGTTTTAAAACGTAATCCATCACGAAATTGAGTAATTTCAATTTTCAGTGGACAAAAACCTTGTCCAGAATAATTTAAGCAATATCGTATTCTTTTTTTAACATTTTTCAAGGGCTATTGATATGATTAGTTATCTGTAATAACACCAAAGACTATTCCCCCATGGGAGCCTGAGAAAATAAATGTCAAATTTCACAAGAATTGTGAAAACAGAGGTAAATTTCGTTTGAAAGATGTCATTTTGAAATTTGACATTTATTTTCTCAGGCTCTCGTAAGAAATTTTCTTTGGTGTTATTACAGATACCTAATTACATTTATAGCCCTTGAAAAACAAACTTGTGAATGAAGCTGCCAACGATTCCGCCCGGGTTAGCGGGCAAGATCGTAAAATACCGCCCGCTCTCCGAACCAATCAGATTGCCGGATTCCGCCCGCTCGCAAGCTTGGAAAGAATTAAGGCAAGGTGCTTTTAGTCCATGGTTTTTGTCAAGAATTGGGAATTTCTTCATCCTTTCTTTTTAGCCAAAATGAGCACAGAAAATGCGTTTATGAACGTTCTATATCGAAAAAAAAGCCTTTCCAGACTATAAAAAAAGCATGGAATTAAAAATGCCGCCAAATATCTATTTTTTCAAATTGGTTAGTCCATAGTTTTGTCAAAAACTTGGGAATTTGTTCATTCTTTCTTTTTAGCCAAAATGGGCCAAGAAAAGTTGTTTATGATGGATACCAAGACAACCCTGTAGGAACTGAACTATTTTCTTGTGTAGAAACGTTCTTTCGTGACATTAAATTAGCATAGATGCTGGTCACGTGAGTGCAAACGCTCTACACGCCAAAAAACTGCCGAAATAAACGCAGCTCGGGTGAGAGGATCATTAACTTTAATCAGTTACTTTTTTGCTGCTTTTCGGTCATTGCAATTAATTGTAACTATGAGGTGAAATTTCATCATATGATGTCGATAATGCCCTCAGAGAATATGCTCGAACCTGACTATCTTTAAGGCGGCTATTAGTGGTAAAAGATTCCGCGATTGATTCCAAAAATTTAATTGCGAGTAAAATTGATACTGACGTTATTACGTTACTAAGTGATATATAAACGGAAACTAAATCAATTTCATCTCTATCTTTTCTAAAACAGCTGAGGTAACCATTTTTTTAATGGCCTTGTTTATGTCGACGGAGTTCAGCTGTACAAATTTGAAACTGACAAATTCAAAGCAGTTTTGCAATGAACCGGCTATCAGATCTTTGTTGACCTATAGCACCCTATATCTACACAGTTGTTCGTGTCTTTTTTCTATCAGACCTTTGTTGACTTACTGCACCCTGTATCTACACAGTTGTACGAATCTTTCTGTGCTGTGTACTTTCCTGACACGGATTATCCTAGAATATAATAATACATTTGCAGCTACTTGCTTTGAAAGAAAACTTGCTGGAAGAGAGAAGAGAGCTATAGCTATTCAGACTTCCCAGTTGGAGGCTCTGGATATTAAGAAATATTTGCACTTTTTATTTGCCTAGGATAGGACAGTTTCAAATAACAAAGTATTTAAAAATTTCGCAAACAGCAGGTGGAAAGAGCTAAATGCGGTGTATATGCATGTTATTGTTGACGTTCACCTTGTGTTTCTCTTTCGTGAATAAAAAAGACTTTCTTCACTGTGTTTTTCACATTTTCTCGAATTTCTCGACATCGCCAGTAATAAACCACAGGATCTAACGACGAATTCAGTAGAGCCAAGAATACGGCGACGTGATCATATAACAAAAACGAAACCCCTCGCAAATTCTGGAATGTTAACAAAGTAGTGGATGTGAGAACAGGAAGGAAACACGCGAGGAAAACAGCATATACAAATAACGCGTTATAGCAGGCTTTCTTTTCTCGAAGAAGCTCCGCTGCATGGGAATTTTGAAGCTGAAGCTGAGTTTGAATTTGATTCTGGTGATATCTAACTGCTTTGTAGAGATGACCATACGCAACAGTCATTAGTAGGAATCCAGCAAAGTTAGCGACTGCAAATACTGTACGAACATACTGAGGGAGAAGAAGTAGGATGACGGCACCCACCCAGCTTGTTGACCATATCGATACCAGTGCTACAACAACACGCTTGGGAGTCACGAGTTCGCGATATCTGAGGTGAAGCCAAATAGCCAAAAGTCTATCGATTGCAATGGCGGTGATATTCAGAAAAGACGCGGAAAGGAAGCAAAAATTAAGAAATAACTTGCATTTAAGACTGTTGGGCAGAATGGAATTTCCTCCGTCGATGTCGAGTTCAACATTATCGCGATTAAAACACCAAAGCAGAGTTGCGAAAACAAACCCACAGCCAGATCTGAAAAGGCGAGGCTCAAGAAGAGCTTTTTGATGTTGGTGGTTATCGATGACGCTTCCCATAGGGCACGGATAAGCAGGAAATTTCCAATTACTGCCATCAGCGAAAACACCAGGTTTAAAACACAGAAAATTTTCATGAACTTTTCTTGACGTTCAACAAGTTCCTCCAATTCATGTAGTCTAGACTCACAGAACCTAGAAAACATGTTGAAACTACTGACTGATGACCGTATTCCGATCCGCCACAGCAATATGTGCTTCAGTATACTGTTTTGTCTTGCAAATGACGTTTATGAGCAATTAACAATATATATGAAACAAAGTTAACGCTCTCCCGCATTTGTTTAATAATTGGAATGATTTAATAACCGGTTGTCGCGTATTCGATTTTCAAGAACAGCGCTTGATGTAAACTATCTGAGGGTCAAACTAGTTAGGGTACATTTTTAGCAAATTTAGAAATAACGTTAATTCTTTTTCCTTTTCACTCCGGATTTGAGACTGGCGTTTTTATTAACCCCTCAGGCATTTATATGTTGTATTTTCATGCTATAAGTATAAAAGACGCCAAGAAAACCCTCCGGCAATCTATGTTTGAACTTTGAAACTACGTGCAAAAAAAAATGCTCTTGAAACAAATCAGCCCGTTCCCACCACAACGAATTGGAAATTGTTAACGAAAAAAGTGTTTAATTGATTGCAAAAACGTACGAGTTAAGTAAATAACGTTCTAGACCCAGGTAGACTACTTTTCGGTTAATAGATACCGTGGTGGAATAATGCCAGCTCTGAATGAACAGTGTTCGTTAATCAATTTGTATGCCCCCTTTTCCTGTAAACTGAAAGCAGTCCTTTTATCAAAAACAGTTTTTCTTTGCCTCTCCTCTTCATTTTTACCCTTTTTGCTTAGCAATTTTTAGCCAGGGGATAGTTTTTAGCCTAACTGTGCCTAACACTTATACCTAATATATTCAGGGGCACCTAATGATGGTTTCCTCCAACATACGTTGAAAAACACTATTGAGGCTATCAAAAGTACTTTAATTATGCATTCTAAGCGGCGCTACAAAATTTTTATCTGTTCAGTCATCCTAGGGGAACCTAAGTCTTTTCGAAATTTACAAGGGCTTCAGTATTATTTTCCGGAAAATTTTAGGTGCAATTTAACGTTTCACGAAAGTGAGAATTTTTCTGATCCCTCTCTCCATCACATTTTAGAATCTGAAAATTTAAGGTTTCCTTTTCTATGAAAAAAATAGTGTAACCTGGGTAGTAAAATAGAAAAATTAAACTTCAGAAATTCGTAGGGAATTTATTAGATAAGCTTCGAAAATTGTGCATGAAGGGAACGTTTGCCGTGCTCAAGCACAAGAAAATTCTAGGCAACATCCGAACAGATATTTTACATAAAACAGTCGTTGGGTGTCCCTGTATGTTGACCTGAATTGTTTACTTCTATTAATATTCCGTTAAGTTATTGTGAGAGCCTTTTACCTATAAGCCTGGTGGTTTCCCTTAGGCTTCCTAGCCATTAGCTTTTTAATATTCAAGTACTTCATGTTTTGCATTGTGGCAAAACAATGAACTTGAAATTTTAATTGCGAGCGTGCCCATAACACCGAATAGACCTTGTCACGGTTTTCGACGCCATCTTGACGAGTAGGCAAACGTGTGAGAAATTACAGTGTTCGTATGAGAATCTAATGTCGAATAATTTCCGTAAAACGGTTGTTCTGAAAAAAAATATCAATTATAAACTAAAGCTACAAAGCAAAGGATTGTCCTAAAAATTTTGGGGGCGTACCTGTGCTTGAATTTCTCCAGAGGCTTGATATAGATTTTCCATATATTTGTCTGTAATTTTCCCAGGACTTTCTTACGGTCAAATGTATAGAAAATTTTAAAAAGTGGTTCTAGGTCTTCTAGTGCATGTAACGCCCTCAAATGTTTTCAGGAGAATCCTTAGGAGTGAAGCTTTAGTTTAAAAATCACATTTTTTCAGAACAGCCGTTCTACGGAAATTATTCGACATTAGATTCTCATACAAACACTGTAATTTCCCACGCGTTTGCCCACTTGTCAAGATGGCGTCGAAAACCGTGACAAGGTCTATTGAAAATTCCACACTCTAATGGTAATAAAGTAAGAGTGAAATAAATAAAAAATGATCTAGACCCCGGTAGACTGCTGTTCTGTTAATGGATACCTTAGATAAAAACAACCGGCTCTGACTGTGCATTATTCATTAATTAGTATTTTTGACATATGTTGAAAAAGAGTGCCAACTGCTTTTTTCTCGCCAATGATAGCCAGGTGTTTTTTGAACTGGTCTCGACGAGAAATTTCTTGTAATATGTAACTGGATGGCCACTTGGAGATAGCGTTACAGACTATGTTGGTGTTGTATTGAATGGCACCGTATTAGGGAACGAATTCGGAGCCACTGTCCACGCAACACTGTAATAGCAAGAGTGAGAAAAGCCACTGCTTTTCCAAAAGAACGCCACAGTGCAATTCGACACATCACACGCAACCCCAAAATAGGCCAATATTTACACCTCATTCGATTGTTGGTTCAATAATAATACTTACCGATTATTGGAGGAAGCTAAGGGCCTGTTTACATGGAGGTGGGGGACCCCAGGTAGGTGAGGTAACCAGCTTAGGTGGGGTAACCCGTTTGTCCATATAATCTCTCATTTTAATTTCATCACGTTTACATCATAGGTGGGGTGACCCGCCATAATTTACCTCACCTATCTGGGGTCCCCTACCTCCATGTAAACAGGGCCCAAGTGTGATCTGAAGAATCGTGAAGATCGAGGAGGATCCGCTGAGACCCAATATCTTTGATCCGCACAATTCTTCAGATCATACAAAGGCCGAACGCAATAATTGTTTTATCATATATTTATTCCAAATAAGTCTTCTAAACATGCTTACCCCGACCGATTCATTTATCTGTTCCACGGCAAATCCAGGACATGAACCAGCATCCTTCAAACAGCAGTTGTCATTCGTCAAGTTCTATTTTTGCTGTTCGTGTTTTTAGGTATTAGTTGGGCGATTTCTTCTTCGCAAAATATGTCAGATTTTCCGCCATTTTCTCCAGCTCTACCGAAACAACTGAGCAAACGCAACCTTAAGTGTCGACAGAGTTTATCGGTTCTCGTCCCCTTTCCTGGCGCCTATTGACGTAATTTTACAAGATATCGCAAACACCATCCAAATTTGGTCAACGCTACCTGGCTATGAAGAATTACCCGGGGGATTTCCTCCAATAAGAAAAGGAGAGATATTTGAACGGAAAATAAACAAGGTCATTTAACCAGTTGCACCAATGGCATCTTTTTTCGAGCTTCGGAAGGGCAGAAAACTGGACGGGGGCTTTAAACAGGCAATTGGTCATTGCTACTGCAATCTACGGTTAACGTGAATCGAAGCATGTGGCAAGTGTCCGGCTTTACTCTTTTCATCTTCCCCCGCGCGGTTGTTATTTTTAAGCAGTGGAGGCCTAGGAGAACTGCAGAGTGGAAAGTATCCGCATGGGATTTTGTCACGCGCTGTAGCAAATTACGTAGATTTTAATAACCCTTGTCGTTAACAACGCATTTCACGGTTCATTTTGAGCCAACAGAGCGTTTTCAACCACATGGCCAGAGAAAGCGTTTGCATTAGAAAAGAGTTCAACTCCCATAGGATTGGTTTGGAACACCAAAATGCCCGCGGTTGCATTGTTTTGGAATACCAACATGGCTGCCGTGACGTCATGTGAAAAGGAACTGTTAAAGCCACGCTTCCTTTTTTCAAATGATTTCCTATGTATCTAATCATAAACTTACTTTCTAGTCAATAAAAAAAGAAAAGTTTGAAAATAGATTAACTCTTTAATTTTTTTGCCCTCCAAAAGACATATTGAAACAGTAACACTGGAATGTCCACGATGATTTCTCTGTTTTTAGCTCTAACGTTAATCGGTTTGAACCGACATCATTTTTAAAACACTGCAACCCTAAGACTGGTTTTCTTGGAAAAACACGGTCTACTGACAAGTGAGCTTTTGCTGTAAAGTCATAACATCTTCAGTCAAGGTGGTTGATTTTGAAAGAAGCGTTCTGAAAGAAAAATATAGACATGAACGGTTATCAGCGTATTAAATTTCTCCTTAATTTATTTACTCATAAGTTCCTTGTAAAGAGTGACCAACATCAACTTTCTCCTTTCAATACAAATACACACGAAAAAAATGTTATGAGAATTACAAAAATAATCACCTAAGGGAGAAATCTTTGATCTTTTATCAGATTCTCTCAGCCAATTTTGTTTTCGCAATTTTAGCAAAAATAAAAAAAAACTGATTCACAAGAAAATTTTGTGAGACACCTTGCAAATATCGCAAAAATAGCAAGAATACCAAATTGAACAAAATCCTAGGCTTATAAAGGCAAAAGGCAGAGAAGGGCCTCGAGAAGGCCGAAAATTTCGCAAAAATCACAGAAGTAACAAAAAATTTTCTTGTCATCCAAAAACACTTAGTAACAAATATCACAAAAAAAGCAAGAATACCTTGTAGCTAAAATTGCGACAAACATTTGCTGAATGTTTGCTACAGCTTGCAATCCTTGTTGAATTTGTTATTCTTGCTATATTTGCTAATTATTTTATACATTTCTGACAGACGTTTCCTTTAAATCTTATTTTGCGAAAATTGAGAAAAAAAAATTGCGACTGTGTTCAATCCTGGACATAAATAAGTGCACGTTAATCCCAGTAATGGAATCCCAGTAGTTTTCGACCTCTGGATTTGACTGCGAGTACGAGATCTAGTGCGAGAATGAGTTGGAATTTCAAGGCTATTTTGTGCACAAAACTCCCACTCGTCCTAGTTACTAACCAAAGACGTAAGTGACAAGAGTGATGTGACTAGTGATGAAAGCAGTGGATCAATTAAGGTTTCTGGGAAACTGCCCACCTACTCCGCCCGTAAGCCAACATTTTGCCGTAACTGAGAAGTAAGTGTTAATTTTAGTTTAGGGGAGGGGGGAGGTGGGCAAACTCTCACGTTCAAAACGAGGCTAAATTCAAAACCTTTCTGGCGAAAATGAGTTATATTTGCATAAGAATAAACAGTCAGTTTCATTTCAATGGTTTCGCTCTTAGCCTCGCTTTGAAACAGAGGCTTGGTGAAACTTGGAAGTGGCCTGTTTAGAGGTTCTTTCTTTTGGTGCGGTTAGGCTGAAGGGTTATCCTTTACCTGAACAACTTAACACGTTCCACGCTTTCTTCAAATTGTCGGGCTTTCTTAATAGCCACCGAAGTAACCTAAAAAAAAAAAATATTATAACATGTTTAATAAATGGGCGCACTATGATTGGTCAGAAAGAATGCAATACTTTTACTTAGAAACGTATAAAAAGAAACTCAACAAATGCACTCGGTACGATTTTCTTAGGAAAATATTGGATGACAAATGTAAGGAATTGTCAACTCACCTCATCAGGAATGCCAGCCAATCCAGCAGCATTGAAACCATAACTTTTGGGACATGCGCCCTTGACGAACTTATACAGGAATGTTATCGTTTCTTTACCATGTTCATTCTCATTTTCCACCATGCAGGCCTGAAAAAAAAAAAATAAATATTGTAAGGGAAAAATCGTAAGCTGGAAAGACCAAAATTATATTGCTAGATATTCCCAAATAGAACAAAGTCAAGAACATAGTTTAACACAGCCTTGAATTAAATGCAAAAACCTTTTTAAATTCCTAGTACAGTGAGACCCTAGCTAACGGCTACCTCATTAATACCGTCACCCGTTAATAAGGCCAAATTTTTTTGGCCTACTGGTGACCGTATTAACGGGGTTCCACTGTACCTAATGTTAAGCAAATGTTTTCAAATTATTGTTCGTAGGTATTTTATACGAACTACGTCAGAACTCGTCGATAAACAACGATAAACATTCTATATGGCTATTTATGTTCCAAACTTGTCCCATCAGCTCCCAGGCCTGGAAAAATAATAACGTTTATAAGTTCATGCCCCTCCCCCCGCCCCCCGCGAACGTTTTTAACCTGTTAAATAATATACTTTTTCAGGTCATTTATCAAAGAGAGGTCTGATGTCACAACTTACAAACACGGCAAATTTACTTAGTATAAAGTATAATAGTATTTCCTACTTTATGACATCAAAAGCACTAGCATGTGGTTTAATGATTAAGCGAATTTCAGAATTTCTTACCATATGACCAAGTCTAACATTATCATCAGTGGAGAATTCCTCCACAAGTGAATGGTAATGAGTGGAAAAGAGTGTCCTACATCTGATGTTCCTTGACAGTTCACTGACCACTGCGCATGCGATAGCTGTCCCGTCATACGTAGCGGTTCCTCGTCCCAGTTCATCCACAAGAACAAGGGAGTGTCTTGTTGCGTGTCTAAGAATTGTGGACGTTTCGCTTAGCTCTACAAAGAATGTACTTTCACCTAAAAAAGAAAAAGGAAAAAAGCAAGGCTTTAACTAACTGTTTCCACAATTTACGCACTCCATAAACATTGAACAAGACACCACAGAAATTCACAAACTTTCGAGGACTTCGGTGTTCAGTTACCTGATAAGATTCTGTCGTGAGCACCAAGCCTGGTGAATACGCGATCCACAGGTGTCAGGCGACATTTTTCAGCTGGAACGTAACAACCCTACAAACAAAAGTCATCATATTTTACTACTTTTTAAGACCGCACTATTGTTTCCCAGTTAATACACATTAAAGGAAGGATCAAATTTAGGCACGAAGGAAGGAAGGAAGGAAGGAAGGAAGGATTAAAGGAAGGATCAAATTTAGCCAATTTAGCCAATGCACATTAAAGGAAGGATCAAATTTAGCCACGGTTAAAACAGGAAGGAATCGGGTTAGACACACCATATCATTTACAAAACTAGAATTCATTTGTAAAGACCTCATTTATGCCAGGCCCTTGAGGCTACCGTATATAGTAGCATTGCGGGTGTTCAGCTTGCGGCTCGATAGCACAGACTACCCTGTGAAGATTGATTGAGGGTAACCAAACCAAAATGGCGACCCAATGGAGGATAATGGACATTACAACGGCCTTGTTGACCAGAGAAATTGGTTGTTGTTGTTGTGCACGGGGGCGGACGTGTTTCTCTGATCTCCGATTTAGTTTCGACCTGGTGAACGTGTTTTTCATTTTCTTTGCCCTTCAATCGCTTTGTAGAGTCTCCTTCTTTATTTCTTCATCTATTTGTGCCTGATATTTGTCATTTTATCGTGTGATTCAAGTCTGTGCATGTGTTTTTTTCTTTTCTTTTCTTTGATTGTTTGTTAGTTTTTACATTGCTTTATACTTGTGCATCCATGAACCAACCTCTTTAATATTCTTAATTGATCTATAATGTCTCCTAGCTAGATTAGCTTTTCACCTATTTTCTAGGTGGCTTGTACCTTATATACGTAGTATTGTCGTTTTTAATGGCTCTTTTTATGCGTGTAGTATAAATAAAGTTCTTGTCTTGTCTATCTAAAAATCATAACATTAATATGACCAAAACATTTGAAACACATTTGAACACTACCACACATGGATTGTACGCAAGCGTGAGATGCTAGCCATTCCATAGGATTAGTGTTCGAGTGTATGCCTCTCTATTTTGCTTTTTAGTTCACTTAAAGTCGCGCAGGGTCATTGACTCGCCGATCTGGGTTTGTTTCGTAAGTTTTAACCTTAAAGACCATACGCTATACGACTTTTCAAAATGGTTTTGTTCTATTATTTTGTAACAGCTACAATAAGATGAAATGCTTTACCATTTGTGCCATGATGACAATCAACCCCGCTTGTCGCATTAGAGTTGACTTTCCTCCCATGTTGGGACCTGTAACTAACACGCAGGTGCTTTCACTGTTTGCCGCTGCTTCATCGCAGTCAATTTCCTAAAAACATAAGGAAAAACTGACTTCGTTTGTAACGAAAATAATATATTTTGCTGTAACATTATCATAAGAGGAATCTAAAACTTTTTCACACAACGCTCTAAATCATGCAATATCAGTATGTAATTATCATACCTACTTTGCAGCTTTCAAATGTCTTAACCACCGGCTACTTTAGAAACGAATAGAAAACAGGACCAAGTTTAATTTCGCACAGACTCCTGGGACTGTTACTCGGGACCAGGAAAAAACGTCGGCCAATGGCTGACCAGCGAGTCTCCGGTAACCATCCCAGAATACTTTGCAAAAGCTAACTTGGCCAAGTTTCCTTTTCGTTTGTAAAGTGGTGAGTTAGGGTTGATTTCCACTGTCGCGGAATTTTTCCGTGCGAACGTACGTAAATATTACGTGCGTAAATGAAATAGAGGAAATGTATGAAAGGCCACGCGTAAACGTAAAAGTCGAGCGTGGTTCAACTTTTACGTACACGCGTGACCTTCCATACATTAGGCTGATTTAGTAACAGGACGGGAACGCCAGTTGACGACAGAAAAGCGCGCGGAAAGGACTAAACACGACTTCCGGTGCCCAATTTGCGGCTCTGCCATTGGTCAGGCCAGTTGTTTGATTTGCGCGCGCCGTCGTCAATTCACGTTCCCGTTCTTTTGCTAAATCAGCCTATTGTCTCTATTTTATTAACGCACGTAAAATTTACGTGCGCACGCGAGGAAAACTACGCGACAGTGGAAATCCACCCTTAGTGACTTGTTGTTGGGAGGTCTTGCGCAAAGTTTGAAACCGATCAAATGTTAAGCTACGTGCAAACAAAAAAAAAACAAGCAACAACTCCCAACATTGTTGCCTCAACAATGCTTGGAGCTGTTGCGTCCGTTTGCACGTATCTTAAACTGTGAAGTCTTCCGCTATCCTCCCCTACTCTGCACTGCCGAAAAAGCTGAGCCACTGCGCCCCATTTTCAGTGTAATATTTTACTATTTAATCTATCGCATAATCAAGGCAAACATCTTCCAAACATGGTCAACGATAGCTGGTTGTGCCGTGAAATTTATGCCAATCGAAAACGGAGAAATATTTTCAATGCATGATAACGAATGACTTAGTGACGTCCGCTTGAGTTTGGACTTGATACCTTTCATCAGGAACTTAAAAATGTTTGTAGACAAGATGCCCATACTTACGTCTTTGATTCCCACAACCGTGTCATTTGGGATGAAATCACCGCCACTGAACGTGCGAGAAATACAGGGGTGGCGTCCATCGCGAATTTCCAAGAAAGGCTGTTGATTGAAAACAACTTGATATAGAAGAGCAGTTGTTTACTATTCATCTGACTTAGTTACGCCTTGTAAAACACTTTTCGAGGTTTTTCCTGGTGTTGAAGAAACTATTGCTAGCTAGCTTACACATCTTTTTCCATCTTTTGTATTGCCACTTTTCGTGATCGCGCTAACCGCAACTACCCTTTTTCGGCAAATAAGATACGCATTTCTCACATCAACTTTCTCAAGTTGTTATTGGGTCCATCTTTGAGGTTGCTGGACCTCTGCTCTCGTAGATTGACTACTTCGGTGTTGCCCCATTGCACTTAAGAAATCTGAGCGCACGAAGGATTAAGGAAAATAGCAAGGACGGTTTCCAAGAACTCAGAGTTCAGCCGTTTCTGAACACGCAAATATGACCAGGCATTAACCGCTTTGGCACAAAAGGCTAATTAATTAACCGAGACACTCAATGGTACTCTTGCCGAGTTAAAGAGAATATCCAAATACAGATAGTGGAAAATAAAACCAAAAAGCGTGGCCGTCCATGATCAGAAGTCACCGCGGCCGAAAAGTAAACAAAGGATCACTGAGGGAACAATTACTTACGCTACCAGTGACAAAAATGTTTCGAGTCAACATAAGTAGGGTTGGTGTTACACCATTCAGAAGCAACCACGGTGCTACTAATAATCCAGGGCTGCAAATAATTTCCCGGCTGGCGCCGGTCAAATTGTCCGATCAAACCTGTTTTTGCTCGGACATATCCCATCTTTGGCCGGACAAACATCGATTACGTCTTCTTGCTATAAAAGTGCCCCCTCCTCCCTTCACATGATGTTAATTTAAATATGACACAAGTAAATTTTCAAAGCATTTATTATACATGGGCATCGATCTCAATGCAGGAAAAGTGGAAAGCATGGTACAGCAAAAGTGCGTCCTACCGTTGCTTCAGTTCTGCGTCTTATATACGGTTAGTTATGAAGTTGATGAAATTGACTGAGGCTTGCAATCTGGTTGATTTTAAATGTTACCGGAAACAGGGAAGCTATTTCCCTAAGATGCGTGATTGAACTTTTAAAATACAATAATGGAAGAGTTCTTAGACATCCGAGGACATCATCTTGCGGAAACGCAGTTTGGACATGTAACAAGGGAACACCAGGATGCACTGGAAAGGGTTTTTGAAGACGTTGATGACTATGTTCACATGTTACCTGTTAAACTGAAGTCGTTACATACCACATTGACAACATTTGTAAGGGTTATCGCAAATACAATTTCTTTCTAATCCATTGTGTTTCGCCCTGTCAACGGTGAAACTTACCGCATTTTTGCTTCAGTCAAGTTTGAGAAGAATTTTTCAAATATTTTCTATAAACAACCCACGCATCATGCGTAACACGTAACACAATGAAATCCGCGGTCAATCGTTTGAGATGAATCGCGTATTTAGACCTATTTAGGCCAGGTAAAGTTTACATGTTGTCATATCTGAATTTACTGCTAAAAAGGTTTGCTTCCCTAGAAAATAGAATGTTTAGTTAATCGCGGTATTTATAGCTTAAGTGATTAACACGGAAATGTCGACAAGTAGACAAATGAATGTAAACTTGCTTTCTTGTTATTGTTATTTTCACACTTAAATTTTGAAGACAAAGGGTGCCATGACCCTTGTACGGACATTGAGAGGTTTTGTTGTCCTTCTCACCTCATGTTTACAAAACCCACACGGACTAATAATAAAGTAATTCACACCCGTGACCGGTACATATTACCCTGGGTACCAGAGGTTTTTTCAAGCGTGCGCAGGGGAGCTTCGCGCATGTTCGGACCACATCTTGTGAATGGCGGAAATTTTATGACTACTACGAATCATTCATTAAAAGTTCTTGGTCTGGTAGTCAAGTATCCGTCTTTTCCCCTCCTTTTTCACAAACGCCAATAATACTGAACCTTTAAATATTTAAAACTTGAAACTCTAAATTTTTTCCTTACCAGCGAAAACGACCGGACAAATTGTCCGGCCAACTAAGGAATTGCCCGGACAAAATCTATTTTTGACCGGACATTGTCCGTTGACCGGCCGCTATTTGCAGCCCTGTAATCTCTCTCTGTAAATTGACCATCGCCTGATGATGACCACCAGTGGGCAGGTCGAAACGTCGCGATCAATACCATGAAGCAAACGATAAACGAGCCTATCATACACATTCCAAAATGAACGCAATATTTCACTATACTTAAGTTGAACTGCGAGTAAACGTCAAGGACAAGTAATGAAAGCAAAATGTTTTTCATCCCCCTTCCTTGATACGTCACAGCTGTTAGGAGATCATTGTACCTCATCATCACTGGTCTTCATTATTCAACTTCATCGTAGCTTTTAAATAATATAGTCACTATCAAAACATACCGTAAAATTCCGAAAATAAGCCCCTCCAAATATAAGCCCCCCAAATTCGTAACGCAAAAAAACCTTCCGTTAAATCGCCCCTCCGAATATAAGCCCCCTCCCGGGGGGGTTGAACTTGGGAATGGTCCTGTAGTACAAAGAAAGACAAGGAAAAACAGTAAATTCCCTTCCTTAAATAAGGCTAGCCCAATCGATTTTGAAACCCAAATTTCCTTCAGTACATAAGCCCCTCCGAATATAACCCCTCGAAAAATATGCCCCTCAAAAAGGGCCTTTGAAAAATATAAGCCCCGGGGCTTATTTTCGGAATTTTACGGTAACAGCCTTTTCATGTCATTAACAAATACCTACCTGAAAATCTCCATCAGATGTTTGATCAGGAAGGACGACTTCTGGTCTGCACATTGGACCATCTCCTTGAGAACTAGAAAAAAGGCAGGATTAGTATCGAGGTGATTATTCCATTTACACGTTGAGACATGATCATTTCTTCGACAATGCGAGTCTGTACATGAAAACATACAACGAGAACGATATTTTCCCTTTCACTTTGCACAGTTCAAGTTCACGTGTGCACAAGAGCCAAAAACGCAAAGTTTGAACTTAGGAGGACACGTGCGGACATAGCTTTGTTCTCTTGTGAAGTGAACTGCATAGACGGAAAAGCTGTTAAGTTTATAAGGCATGGACGTAATAGAGGTCAAATGAAATAGTCGTAAACTGGGGCAAAATTAGTAGTGTACCTGAATGCAGCAAGGCTGATCAGCGAATCCAATACGGCCAGACACTGAACTGCTTTGTCCCAAATCTTATACCTATCATTAAGACACCACAAAACAAGAATCATGCGGTCACACCCTTAAGAATGCGTAGACAAGTTTGAGAGCAACAAAGTAAGAGGCTATTGCGATAACAAAAGACTATTAGAATTGCACTACTTTGCAACAGAGAACGGCTTTCAATTTAGTGAGGTCAAACCCAAGTAACAACCCTGGCCAATCAAAATACGAGCAGAAATTCACATCAAACAATCACTGTGGCCATCTCGAAACTGACGCAAAGTGCGCGAAAAGTAGTTGAGTAAGGCATGATTGGTTTTGGTCCTACTCGTGACTGGTTGAAAAATGGCGCAAGATTTATTCAGCCAATCACAAAGAGTGGCAGAACAAAACGAGTCAATTACGAACATTTAATGGAAACTGCAATATTTCAGTAGAATTCATGACTTACTCTTGGTCAAACTTGTGAAACACATGTCTCATGGTATTCTTTAAAGCTTCTTCTCGCCTCTCCTCTGCATCAACCAACTCAGCCAGTTTCGCTTCGATTTCTGCAGTCCAGTATCGCTTGAATCCTTTCTTCTGCGACTGCAGAGTATACTCATCAGGAATCTTGCGGATTGAATCGGGAACTTCAAGCTGATAACGGTTCTTAGCTGGAATGGAGAGAAAAATGCGTTATTTGTATTTGTTTGTTTGTTATCGTGTGGACATGTTTTTTGGTTCAATTTTATCTTTGTGGTAATGTATGATTACGCCCTGTAATAAAGCACGTACTCTTCGCGTTTGTCATCCCCGAAAAAACTACTTCTGTATCTCTTATAGCTAATCAGCTGAGTACTTGCAACTGGTTAAGGGTTCACTGTGGGTGGAGAATTAAGTGTGAACATAGCCGAGGGAAACTCACGTGTTATTCTATCATCCGAGATCTTAGATCCGAATGACTTTGTCTTTCGTGCAGAAATAACAATAATCTAATAATAAAATTAAATTTCTTGGAGAAGGATTTCTTGCTGCCTTACCTGATCCCCAATACGTGACCTAGAAAAGAAACAAAAAAACAAACAAACAAACATTACGCAAGTACGTTGCAAGCCTTTGAGATCAGGATTTATGATCCAAGATCACTAGAATCATGGTGAATCAAAAAGTATCTATGAATTCTTGTCCACATGGGATTTCGCAGTTCATTAAAAAGGATTCCGTTCCTTAAAAGGAATTGAAACCCACGACTCCTACATTACCGGTGCAGTGCTCAAACTAACTGACCCATAAAACGATTTGACTTAAGACCTAGTGAACAGTGAGCTTATATAATCTTTTGCTAAACCTCCTAACTGATTGGACGAGAACGTGCCACGTGTCAGGGAAGAAGACGGTGAACTCAGGGCGTCACGAAATCACTTCTAAGCACTCACCCTGCATCCAAGCACTGAACACTGCTTCTTAAGATACTGATCAAACCAGACATTTGTCGCTTTAATGTCTGCCAGAGCCCCGTCATAATCAGGATCGACCCCTGCGGATAAACAATGCAAAAACGTCATTTGAATCAACGAGGACATCAGACAAGAAAAGGTTTGTTTACCCGTCTGATGTACAGGCAAGTTTCCCTGCGGTACACTGAAGCAGAATCCCAAACCTGTCTGTGATGTATGAACTTAAACCCTACCTTAACCTCTTGAAAGTTAAAATTTTCCCATATGAGTTGACATTTTAGTATCATTTATGCACCTGATGACGTCACAGCAGCGTACTGTCACCATTTTTTGCCAACATTTGTCTCAGCAATTGACGAACAACAGGGGGTGAGAGAAGAGCCTTTTGGGCGAGTCAACTCCCTGAAAATGGTCCAGTGAGAGCTTGTACCTTCCATGTATAAGCCCCACCAAATATAAGCCCCCCAAAGCGGTAAAGTAAAAACTCTCCGTTAAATCGCCCCTCCAAAAATAAGCCCCCCCCCGGGGCTTGTAATTGGAAAATTGCCCTCAAATACAAGGTAAAACAAAGCAAAAACGGTACATTTACTTCCAACTATAAGGCTAACGCAATCGATTTTGAGACGCAAATTTCCCTCCATAGATAAGCCCCTCCGAATATAAGCCCCTCAAAAAAGGGCCTTTGAAAAATATAAGCCCCGAGACTTATTTTCGGAATTTTACGGTATCTGAATTCTTACAAGGTTTTTCCTAAAACAACAAACAGACCACGATTTTCCTGGAGGGGTTGGTTTCAGGACAAATGCCTTCAGAATCTTCTCCAACGTTACCTGGCTTTGGTAAAATGACACCTTCATTCCTAGCTTTGTTGTGGTCAAAAGCGTGCTGAAAAAAACAAATAACAGTGCTTGATTCATTTGTAAACAACTGATTAAGTCTTCAGCAATTTCAATGCCCAACTTTCATTTCAAGCGACTTTGCCTGGAAGACCCAGCGTTTGTTTGAGCCTACAAAACAGTAACTTGCGGTCTTGTTGGTAGATACTAAGCAAAAAAATCATTTATTCATTGTTCTTGACAGCCTGCGTATAACTTTCTGTTACACTTCAGTCACATCATACCTCCCAAAAATGCCTGAGGGTACTATTTACAAGTATTTAAGAACTAGCATTCGAGAAAATACAGCATCCGTAAAATCTAAAAGAAGTACACCCAAAGCACCTTGAATTTGTGCAAAAGATCATGCAGTCTAGGAAACTGTCCGGTGGATTTACTTTCATCATCACCACTTTTTTCTGTGACAACCTGAGAAAGAAGTTTGGATCTGAAACAAAGAAAATGCAAGCAATTTTAGCAGGTAACAAATCATCATCCTTTACAAATTCAGAAATAAAAAATTGTGTATCTTTTAGTCCTATAGGTCTCTTTTCAAAAAGGGTTGTTTATTCATTTCAATTTTGAACTATGATTTCGTAGAAGTGTGATGAACTGACCGGAAAACCTATTTACAAATGGAAATATAAGCCCCACTTCTCCCTAACCTAGCTCTGCTACCCCCGGTTAAAGAGAATCCTGTCTACAGGAAATTGCTAGACAACGAATTGACGCCCTTCTTTACACATACCTGAAGTTAGTGACATGGTCTTTAAACAATGTCACTATTTCTGTCGCCTTATTGAAACCTTCCAGCACAGTGAGAAAGTCATTAATTTTGCGTTTGCTGCAGTGAGAAAATAGTAAGGTGATAACATGAGTAACAGTGCATTTAAACGTTAGGGGGCAAGTATTGCTCGTTTTTAGGCTAAGAGACTTTCCTTTAAAAAGCATTCATGGGATCGAATGGATTTTATGAGCACCTCTCTAAAGTGACCTGGTGTATTTTACTGTTACTAGGGCTCATCCCGGTATTTATGAGTCACGATAGGCGTAGTTAGTATACTCAGAGTAATGAAGTACGTACAGCAGAAAGAATAGAAATGACTCGTGTAATCCAGGGTTCGAAATTAACGCTCGCAAACTCGCAAAATGCGAGTGATTTTGATAATCTGCGATTAAGAAAAATATCCACTAGCAAACGATTGCGAGTTAGAATTATCCATGTCTCCCAAACAAAGGGAAATAATTTTCTTGTGGTCTCACCAGTTTGCTAGCGGAAAAAAATCTTACTAGCAAAACTTTGCAAGTGCACTAAAAAGATAACTTCGAGCCCTGGTAATCAATGAAAAGAAGTGAAAATCTTTGCTGCCTTTTTTTTTAAATCAATAACTTAGTTTTTGAAATTGTAAACAGGAATTATAGTAGATATACGGTATACATATATGTATTCTTTCGTTTTTGTTTTTTCGTTTTTCTATTTTGACTTCTTAAAAGTAGGTAGTTTGGAATGCATGTACGTGGTGGATTACCGGTTTTCGTTTGTAATAAAGTTTGTTAAAATTTTTTAAAAAAGCTACACATGTAACGAGATGTTACAAAGAGTAGAAAGCTGTAAAACAATCACGACGAAAAGCGCTTGCTTACAAGAGATGATGGTTCAGAAATTGTGGTTTTTTCGGGAGATGGTCGCTTACGTGACGCGAACCCCCAAAAAGGTTGAACTGTAGTCTAAAACTTAAGGTAATTGATCCTTACCTGTATGTGTCTTCATTGTAAAGTATTGCCCGGTGAGCTGGATGATTCTTGTCTCGAGGCAAACTCAGCGTATGGATCCTGTTAGAAAACAAACAACAGACTCAGCTTCCATCCGTATCTCCTGTCTTTTATTGGTCGAAAATGTATGATTTCTTCTTAACACAACAGAAGACCTATTAAGTTGCCCATCTCGTTAAAAAAACATCATCATCAACAACAACAACAAAACTAAGTGAAGGATGAGAACAAACGTCGCGCTACGATCTGTAGCTTCTCCGGATACCACTGCTTTTTTTCTAACTTAAGGAAAGAAATTAAACAAATTTCTCCTACTTTTTCAGCAATCTCTCTAAGTCGGGTAACGTTTTGAGAACTTCTTTGGTCTCTGCAACCAGTCCTGGATTGGCCATTAAATCTTCAACTGAATTTAACCTGTAAAGTGGACATTAGAGAGCTTTAACACGGACGGTGGCGATGACAGCAAAAACATAACTGATCAGATGAATTTGGACTTCTTCAAATTTTGCGACCACTATTCCAACTCGAAACTGTCAAGTGTCGGGGAATAGGCCATTTTACAGTTATGGATGGAAGCGAGGCTGAGGGTGACCTTGTTTTGATACAAACCTTCCTGCTTTATTATGTAAATCAAGTTATTCTTATGCTTACTAGTATTTTTCAAGAACAATTTCCATAACAAAGCAAAGAAGGTTTGTATCAAAACAAGGTCACCCTCACCCTCGCTTCCATCCATAACTGTAAAATGGCCTATTTCCCTGTAGCTGAAGTCTGGGGAATGCATACATGTTAAGAAAAGAAAGAAAACTTTGTTGTCTTGTATTCACATCTGCTACAAAACATCTCCTAAGGAAATCTAACATTGTAAATATGCAGTGATGGCAAAGAACTTTAACAAAAACCTAAAATATGCATATTGATTTTTAGACACTTTCATTAGTGAAGGGCCCTTATGTTACCGTAAAATTCCTAAAATAAGCCCCTCCATGTATAAGCCCCCCCAAATATAAGCCCCCCAAACCGGTGACGCAAAAAACCCTCCGTTAAATCGCCCCTCCAAATATAAGCGCCCCGGGGGCTTGTACTTGGAAAATTACCCTCAAATACAAAGTAAAACAACACAAAAACGGAAATTTACTTCCAACTATAAGGCTAGCCCAATCGATTTGTAATCGCAAATTTCCCTCCATAGATAAGCCCCTCCAAAAATAAGCCCCTCAAAAAGGGCCTTTGAAAAATATAAGCCCCGGGGCTTATTTTCGGAATTTTAAGGTATATCTGCTACTTTGGGTTTACAGTGCAAGAGTGCAATGATGAATGGTCAACATGATGTGCAGCCTGCGTCGCAGACGTAATCCAGCCCTGATTAGTAACGTCTGCGAAGCAGCGCAATATCCTTCTGGGCCCCAAACGGACTTAAAGAATTACCGGAAAAGTGTTTCGAATTTCAGTTCAACCTGATTGACAAATAGGCCAATTTACAGCTATGGATGGAAGCAAGGCTGACGGTGACCTTGTTTTGATACAAACCTTCCTGCTTTATTATGTAAATGAAGTTATTCTTATGCTAACTAGTATTTTTCAAGGGCAATTTCAATAACAAAGCAAAGGAGGTTTGTATCAAAACAAGGTCACCGTCAGCCTCACATTCACTCGAAGGCTAGGGTACTAAGTCCACAACTGTAAAATGGTCTATTGGCAAAGGCTTTTTTAACTGACCAATCATGGCGCATACTCAAATCCTGACTATACAAGTGGGGGCCCAGAACTAGGATTCAGCGCTGTTACGCAGACGGACTTAACCAACAGTTAAGTTTCGTCTGTGGCACAGGCTTCAATCATTCATGATGTGTTGATCTTTGTTTTGAAAGTATTGGGCTCTGTTAAGTTTCTGCTGTCAAACTACGTGTACAAACAAATAACAAACAAGACGCTACGGAGCGTACACTTCGGCGTCGTGGTTGTGGAACCAATTAATTGTAAATGCGGAGGAATAGTAAGAAATCAAATATGGTTAGAGTAAGGTGTTAATTTGTGAAATTATGGGATTTGTCAGGATATTCTGAAAAGAGCAACATCCAAGAGGCCTACTTGCCAAAAACTAGCTAGGGACAAATTGTCTCCGAGATATTAATTAGCCCAGTTGTGCTCTGATGACTCCATACAAATCCTTCTAAAAAAACAATTCTCTATTTTTCTTAGTCACATCAGGCTTCAAAAACAGCATAGCAGTCTCATGTACTGATTAAAGATATGTAAGGCATGGGTAAGCAGACAATTACGTTGAGCATGGAATTGGCTAAAACTCAAAGTCACGAGTTCGAATGTTTTGAGGATAATTATTCACTGACTATCAGCATGCAGGGATGTCGGATTAACACAAGGAAGTTTAACACCAAAGGAACATAGCCTTTACAGAGCTTTAAAACACAGCATCCACCAACACAAACTTGACTTGAACTTTGAATAAAACTAAACAGCCTCTACCAATATTAACAAACTCTCACTTGAACTTCAGATATCTTACGGCTTCCGCGAACTTGTAAACACAATACCTGAAAATCGACCTTCGTCACACTTTACTAAACACAGCAGCCCAGCTCGTGGGAAAAACACTTAGTTCTTCAAAAGAACTCGCCTGGAACTTGTATACCGTTTGACATAAGGTTCTAGAGAATACTAAACAGCAGGCGAGTAGTAGTAGCTTTTCGACATATTTTAAGATTTCAGTAACTGATGCAAATCTGCTGACTCATGCAGAAATGTAAACATGCCCTAATTAATTATTCATGGCTAATCCAAAAACGTAGAGAACGTTCGAGAAAGTCGCGCAACGCATGAAAGCAATTTGACCACGTAATACTCAACAAAGACAAAATGTCTTTTTGCAGCATTTTGTAACTTTAAATTCATCATCAAACAGTTCGAAAGGAGGGCTCACTCGTGAAATGTTTTTCAACCCTCGAAGAGAAATTTCGTGTCTCTGCGCGGCCACGAAATATCCTCTATTTATTCCTCGAGTAATTAAAGACTAAACTCGAAGTGATCTCAAGATATCACGAAGTAGTCCGGTCTCATTTCGTGAAATAGTTGAAACAAGCCGAAAAGTCACGAACTTGCACGCCCAATCTTGTCCCGAAACTAGTGCATGATTTCATAACTATTTTTCATATGCCAAACTACCTTGGGTCGCAGTAGCGCAATCGGCTAATCCCTCAAATTAGAGTCTCCTCTGATCTGACGGGTCACACAGGTGAGTCGGTTCAAACCCCGGGAAAGCCAAAATAATAATTCTTTCTTCCTCGAAAAAGTTAAAGAATAAATTAAAGAAATCGAAGTGATCTCGAGATATCTCGAATTAATTCGGCTCTCACTTCGTCAAATAGCCGAATAAAACCGAAAACCTACAGACTTTGCATGCCCAATCTTGTCAAAAAATTCTAACTTTGATACATTCCTGAGCGTCGCGAAACCTTTACTTCCTGCTCCGCCGAAGTAATAAGCTGACGTTGTATTGCTGTTTGCTGTACACTGTACCTGTCATTTATTGCAGCTGGGTTACACAGAGGTGCACATAGCCACTGCTTGAACAAACGTTTACCTGGTGAAGGAACAAACAGCAAAAACAAATTAGAACACATAACACTACAGAAGCAAGAACAGAACAGGAATTACAGTAGAATCATGATTCCTTGAACCCTCAGCGTCTTGCAACTCTTCATTATTGAAACCAAAACTGGGCTCTCTTTCTAAGTAAACAAACCTCCTGGGACATTAACACATGCTCAAATCTGGCCTCACCACTATAACAAGGTGACAAGCTCAAGTTGAAGTATGAAATGTAATGGAACAGTTAATACCAAACGCAGTAGAACAGTGATCTAGCCTGTCCAACAAAGTGCCTTCGGAAGTTGCATCGGGTCCACTGGGAATGACATCAAGGTTGATCAATGTTACGTTGTCAAGAATCTGTAGATACAACCCAATTCTCTTTATTGATTTGTTCAACGACATAATAATGATTCAACAATACGTTTAACTTAGAATCAAAATAAGAACAAAAAAATGTTAGTGCTTAGAGGCTAAATAAACTGTTGAGTTTTTTAGCTTGGCCCGAGCCATATTAAATCGTACATTACAGTTAAGGACGAGAAGAAGGTCGCACTGATGGTGTAAGACCCCAGTCTTTCAGATGCCAGTTTCTCTGGCTTTTGTGTGTTACAGTTGAATCTCCATTAAGCGGCCACCCCCTATTTAAGCGGCCAGTAATCAAAGTCCTAAAATAATTGTACAAAAGGATTGTAAATAAAACCTTTATTGAACGGCCACCACCCAAAAGCGGCCGCGGCCACATTTTGACCATCCAATCGAGAGTTCTTCTATTAATAGCCAGATTAAGCATCGCGTTTATGGCAAACGGCAAACGGCAAACGTGAGATTCAAGTCGAGAAATTATCAAAGACTTTTGTGCATGATTGTAGTCATGTCATAATAATGGCTATGAAATGAAACATCTCTACTATACCATGTGTTGTCTTCCTTTTGCAAAAGTTGCCGTCTGACCACAGCTTGGAGAACTATCCAGAGGAGTGTATTCCTGAATGGAATCAAAATTGAAAAGCAATATTATTATTTCTATTTTCAGACTTCAAGTTACAATGCTGAGTAAGCAAGAAAAAATACTTAATAGTCTCGGTAAAGCTCACAGGCTTGAGAAGCAGAACTTTAAAAGGGACGGTAAGTTAAGCTAAAGGACATGAAGAAAACTGATTTGACAATACAAGGATCAACTGGTCTCATCTAACAGTATGCAAGACGGTGAAAGGTTGGTGAAAGGTTTGAACCACGGAGTCATTTCATAAGTAGGTTGATTATGATTGGCCGGGTGAACGTAGTCCTGAATAGGACTGTTGTTGTTGACAGTACGTGACTGACGTTTCGACAACCTGTGCAGCAGTCATCTTCAGAATCAAAGTGAGTTGTACCACATCAGTTCATGGTATTAAACTCTGGGCCCAGTTGTTCGAAGGCCGGTTAGCGCTTAACACGGGGTTACATTTAACGCTGGTTTCTTTTTCTTGTGTTCAAAAGCATTTTCTCGGATAATTTTCTCTCTTATTTTCAGAGGTTCCAATCATCAAATTGTGGACAAAAAGAATTAAAACTGAATTGCTTTTTAAGTTTTCAAATCTTAATTCAAATCTCGCACTAACCCTGGGTTATCTTAATCCAGCTTTGAACAACTCGGCCCTGGTTATCAACCTGATTGGATGTTATTGGTGTTATGTGTTAGAAAAATGCAAGTAATCTAAGGTACGATTGACTTTGTCTTCATGGACTTACACATCTCTTAGTTAACGGACAGTGACAATATGTACCTCAAAATTTCCCATTGACAAGACTTCTTGATCAATTAAGCATTTCTTCAGATACCTATTTTAAAAGTTTCAAAGAGGAAAAGCACATGAAACTAAATTGCTAAAACAGGTAATGCTGTCGTAAGTGTGAAGTTTCCATAAGGCCTAGCAAACAGAAAAGGCGTCCGAACCTGAAATGACCCTAAAGGTCCCCTCACAATCAATAATTTATTATAATAAGAGATAGGTAGCTGCTTATGGGAGCTTGCACCTCTACTGTAAAATGTTGTAAATACAGGGAAACAACAGAGTACCTCCAAATCAAATGACTGTTCTGCTGTCTTAAACAATACCTTCTAGTACAAGAACATACTAATCACTGCAAACCTCTACTGTACTGGTTGAGCATTATAGCAGATTAGAAACAAAAAGTCAAAATTGTGATCATGGGAAATGAAATCCTGTCTTTGGCTGGTACATGTACTTATTGATAACCCTGGGTTACTTGGTGAATATGTTGCAGTTATCTTTTTCCACTGTTCTTGGGTATGGTAATATGTGCTAATGAATTTTAAACAAAGGAAAACAAAAATTAACTGAAATAAAAAATTAACCGCAATATATACAAGACTGATACTTCTTACCACACTACAGCACCAAGCGCACTGAGGGCAAGCTCACTTCCATCACCTGGCATCAAGCCCAAGGGGTCTACAAAACAAAAAAACAATGTATTACATGTGGGAGTAGAGGGAACTACGAAAACCAGCTTACCAAAACTACACTTGGTGTAAATTTTGCTTACTAGTCAAAACACTGGGGACTGGCCAGAATTTAGTTTAAAACTACTGCTTTATGATATGAAATCCTGGGTTCAAAACATTATTTTACTAATCGAATAAAGTAGAATAGGATGCCAAAAGTAAGCCACTTTTTGGAAAAAGAATCTCTAACTTCAAAACGTGGAAAAATTGGGGAAAGATGCACTTAACAGGCAAGTTTTGCCACCCTACAGTAAAGGCAGATCAAGTGTACCCCCCAAGATTGCATTAATGAATTGATTATTTAAAAAATGCATCTGTTAGTTGTTGCCGCAACCAGTCTTAAATTCCAATCTGCATTCCTGCATCTGTAATGAGCAGTGACCTTTTCACGATATATAGTTCCTCTGTATTCAGTCAGAATGGATAAAACTGTTTCAAAGACATTTACCTCAAATTCAAGAAAACTGAGCTGGCAGAAATTTCATGACTACCTCGCATGTGATTTCACCACTCATTACGTATGCAGGAGTGTAGAGATGAAACTGAAATCTACAACTACCAATTAATTCAACCTTTTAATAATAAATTCATAAATGCAATCTTGGTGGGTATGCTTGCCCTGCCCTGACTGTAATTTGTCCCATTTTACTGCAGACAGACACTACATGTACTGTACTAAAACTTTGTATTTTCAACTAATATGGGGAAATCATCTCACACTGAAAAGTTGACAGAGTTATATACATGTAGGTATATATTCTTAAAAAAATGTTTTCATGGCAATTAGGGGTGGAGCAATAGCAACACCACTTGTGACCCGACTTCAAGTCCCGTAGTCTACATCATGTATGAGTAGAGTTTGACTTATAGTTCTCTTCTCTGTCATGAGAAATTTCTCTCCAGGAATTCTGGTTTTCCCCTTTCCTTGAGAACTAACTCAACCAAATTCCAATTCGATCATGAAAGTGTTACCAGTTAGTTTGACCACAGGTTTATCAGTTCTTGAAATGTCAAATGTCAGCCTCTCTACATTGTAAGTAACACTAGCCTGGTAGTAAATCACAGAATTGCCTCTCCTAAAAGCAGTTGAGGGCCATTAATATCTCAAAAAGAATTTTTTATACACGTAGTTACAGTAAACCAAGGCGTGTACTACCTCCATCAGTACATCTTTTCAATGCATCTGGCCAACTCTGTAACAGAAAACAATATTATTTTCACTTATCAGGAGTGATGGATGGTGTAAGTTAAAATTTGTACAAGAAAGTAATAACCTAAAGAAACTTGCTACAGGGAAGTGGGAGCTTAAATGTGAATAGCATCCTGAAGGTACTCCCACAAAACAGTTGTCTCTACAAGGTTTGAGAAAAGGGCAAAGCATTTCCAATAACGTGAAAAAGGATAGACAAAAATCATACCAAAACACAATTAAAACAGTACAGTGGACAAGAGGAAAACTTAGAGGGGCATGAAGGCTTGATTGCAAGGGAGGGTCAAATGTATACAGCTGCATGAACATGGCATGTCTTGTTATGCAGTTCATCCTCCCTCCACTCCTCTTAACATTCACTACAACTGATATTTTATGCTGAAGTAGAAATTTACCTTTACTGAATTCTCCGTGCTATTTTTGTCTTCCTTGAAATACTCTTCCTCTGCTAAGACCTTCAGTGTCTTTCCTGCTTCCCAGAATTGTGATCCTGCAAAAGATAGCAGTCACAAAACAACAACAGCTTAAGATAAATAAGGTCAAGTACTGGTTATGCAAGATGAATCCTTGCACTGATGTAGAACTACTTTGCTGTACACTGCAACTCTCTCTTAATAGCTCCCTTTATCAGATGGACACCTGATGTTGGCCCCTACCACTCTCAGTGTTAATACAGATTTTTAAATCCAAAATTCAAGACTTTTTCCAAACTCTTTCCAAACAATAGTTTCTTTTTCCAGACTCACCGTTATAAAATAGGTGATAAATGGCGACCTTACAAAAATGCAGGAAGAAAGCGTTTTTACATGATACGCTGCAAACGTATGGGAAAGATTGAGTAAGATTTGACCAAAACGAAAAAAATGTCACTTAATAGAGCACTTGTTGCAAAAAAAACCTCAAGACTTTTTACCATTTTTCAAGACCTTATCTCGATTTTCCATACTTTTTCCAGGTCTGCAAAAAGGCTGGGCAAATTTCTTGAAAAAGACTTTTTCAAAAACAATTCAATACTTTGAACGAACCCTGCACTCTTCAGCCTTTTTCAGACTCTCCATAAGGCAGACACCTCTGTAAGACAGTAACTTGGTGCTTGTCCAGGATCATTATACGTTTCTGGGAAACTGCCCACCTACCCCTTCCCTAAGCTCACATTAACACTTACTTCTCACTTGGGGCAAAATGTTGGCTTAGGGGAGGGGTAGATGGGCAGATTCCCAGAATTGACAATGATCCCGTGTCCACGGGGTGTCTGTCCTAAAGATGTTGAAAGAATAAGCAAACATATCAGATGCAGAGGATGGATTTTAAGCACCTCAGTATGGGGTTGTTTCCATCGCTCCCAACAAGCAGGGTATAAAATTCAAGTCCTGGTGTACATAGGGGGTTTAGAAAAGGAACGATGGTCTACCATCATATCCTAAATAAAACTGTTGAGTCACTAACCCCAACCCCTTCTACCCAGCCCTTAGCACTGAGTGGTAGTCTGAAATGTTATCCGTCTCCCCACCCAATCCTTCCCCCCTTACCCATGGGGATCTCTCTCCCAGCACTTCCCACAGGTTATGGGGTGGAGACGGTTGACATTTCAACCAAACTGAGTGGCTGAAATCATTGAAAAACGGAATCCAAGGTCGTTTTACAAATTAACTGGTTAGCACAATCTCATTCTAGAGAAGACATTATGGAAATTTTCAAATGTGGCATATTAACAAGACAGCTTTACTAACTAATCTTTTCAGACTGACAATAATGACCTAGCATAATTATAGTACCTGGTGTCAAATACTCCTTCATGGAAGACATCAGCTCATGGTTAAGAACATGCTGAGTTTTTAATGTTAAACCACCACGAGGACACAAAACCTACAAAATAATGCCCCTGTTACTGCATGATAATTTTTAATAAGGAATGAAAACAGGGTATTTTTGTTTCATATCGCATTTACATCATGACTGGGTTATTTCATATCTCGATACTTGCAGGTACACTTCAAGTTGATGAAGTACACGTAAGATTCAAAATTGCAAACATTACGCATGCGCTACCCATTTCAGTCTACCGGCAGACCGATTTCACACCGAAACATGTGGTCGTTTCGCGTTTACAAGATACTGTTGTGAGATTTTGTACTGGAGTGAAATTCTCGCCCTGGTACAACAACCGGGGTGAACTCACGCTGGGGTGACTCATGCCGGCATGATATTTTGTGGTGGTATCATGTAAACAAATGTAGAGCCATGAGAGGGAACTGGAGTCAACTCGCACCGGCACGAAAGTCGCCCTGGTGTCATGTAAAAACCCACTAAATCAACAAATCAAGTCAAACCTGAACTGGGGTGTAATGAGCAACCAGAGTCCTAAGGCGAGAAGACTGACGATCATCTTGAAATTGGCCAATCTTTAAAGAAAAAAAATTCACTGCATAGTGGTCTACTATCATATTAACAGGTTATGTAAAACCCCTCTACACCAACAGACAACAAGTTTGCAAGCCCTGTTGCAAAAAAACAATTGACGTAACTGGCTGGATTAGCTCAGTCAGTAGTCTGTTTGACTGCAGAGCTGGGGCGAGGGGTCGCGGGTTCTTTTCCCGGGGCTGGACAATACTCAGGGTCTTAAAATAACTGATACATGATGGCAATACCCTTGCCCTGCAACCAGGTAGACCTTTGCATGGCTCGGATGACTACATAAAACGGCGGCCCAGTCTCCAGTTGGAGACATTAAAAAAGTGTTCCCAATTAGTACTTTCACACTTAATATATATTGACACTCATTGACAAATAAAGTGCATTTTTTTGTACTTACATGAAACTTTCCAATGGATGTATCCACAAAGCAGACACCATAAAGACTCTCTCCTCCTGAGACATCATCAGATCCCTAATACAATAATTGAAATTAATAAACTGTTGCATGCCATCAGAAAATACTGCACCAGGTTGTGCTAAAGCATTGCCTGATGGCTTCTAGTGACTTACTATGAGGGATGACAAACCTTAAGTTGAGTGAGAGAATAGGAACAATTTATGGACAACAGGATCTGACAAACTAAATCAGCTTTGTACAAAACATATTAATGCTGTACTGTGCACTCTTAACTTCACAGTTTCAGAGCTCACCCGACTCCTAATCCTAAATTGTAATAACAGCCCATCACAGCTAAGTGGCAGTCAATATTACCTTTTCAGAAATGGCCAAAAGGTATGCAGCCTCACTTTCTGTACAGTCTCCATCTAGAAAACTGTATGTCTTTGTTCCTGCAAATAAAAAAAAAGATTTCAACTTACAAAAGAAGGAAGTACTTGGCAAAAAATTGCATGCATTAACATAAATGGATATGAATTTTCATATGCATATAAGGTAACTAGGGAGAACATAGTGACTGGTGTGACCATGGTGACAAGGGTGACTAGGATAACTTAGGTGAGTAGGGTGAGTAAGGTGACTGGGGTAACTTAAGTGACTAGGGTGACTAAGCTAACTAGGGTGACTTGGGTGACTAAGATGACTACTGAGACAAAGGTGACTAGGTGACTTGGGTGACTAGGGTGACCAAACTTACAAGAGTGACTGAGGTGACTTGGATAACTTGGGTGAGTAGGGTGACTAGGATGACTAAGATAGCAAGGGTGACTTGGATGAGTAAGGAGACTAGGGTGGCTGAGATGACTTGGGTAACTTAAGTGACCAGGGTGACTGAGGTGTTTTGGGTAACTTGGGTGACAAGGGTGACTTCGGTTACTAGTCTAAGAGTGACTTGGGTGACTTGGGTGACGAGAGTGACAAGGGTGGCTTGGGTGACTAGGGTGACTTGGGTGACAAGGGTGACTAGGATCATTGAGGTGCCTAGGGTGAATGAGTTGACTTGGGTAACTTAAGAGAGTAGGGTGACTAGCTGACTTGGGTGACTTGGGTAACTAAGGTGACTAGGGTGAGTAGGGTGACTAGGGTGACTGAGGTGCCATAAGTGACTTGGGTAACTTGGGTGACAAGGGTTACAAGAGTGACTTTGGTGAGTAGGGTGACTTGCGTCACTAGGGTGAAATGGGTGACTTGAGTGACTGGGGTGACTATGGTGACTAGGGTGACCTGGGAGACTAAGGTGACTTGGGTGACAAGGGTGACTAGAGTGACCTGGGTGACTTTGGTGATAAGGGTGACTTAGGTGACTGGGGTGACTTGGGTAATTAGGGTGACTTGGGTAATTAGGGTGACTTGGGTGACTAAGGAGACTTGGCTGACGTTGGTGATAAGGGTGACTTGGGTGACTAGGGTGACTCAAGTGACTAGAATGACTTGCATGACAAGGGTGACTGGGTGACTTGGGTGATTAGTGTGACTCAGGTGACTGGGGCGATTGAGGTGTCTTGGGTGACTGAGTTGACTTGGGTAACTTAAGAGAGTAGGTTGATAAGCTGACTTGGGTGACTTGGGTAACTAGGGTGACAAGGGTGACTTGGGTGAATTGGGTGAATAGGGTGACAAGGGTGACTTGGGTGACTTAGGTGACTAGGGTGAAAAGGGTGACTTGCGTGATTAGGGTGACTCAGGTGACTAGGGTGACTGAGTTCACTTGGGTAACTTAAGAGAGTGGGGTGATTAGCTGACTTCGATGACTTGGGTAACTAGGCTGACTTGGATGACTAGGGTGACTTGTGTGACTAGAGTGACATGGGTGATTAGGGTGACTTGGGTGAATAGGGTGTGAAAAGGGTGCCTTGGGTAACCAGGGTGACTAAGGTTACAAGAGTGACTTTGGTGAGTAGGCTGACTTGGCCTACTTAGGTGACTAGGATGACTTGGGTGACTAGGGTTTCTAGAGTGGCTTGGGTGACTTGGGTGACTAGGGTGACTGAGGTGCCTTAGGTGACTTGGGTGACTAGAATGACTTGGGTGACAACAGTGACTTGGGTGACTATGCCCTTGGTAACTTGGGTGACTATAGTGCCGAGGGTGACAAGGGTGAGTAGGGTGGAGGGGGTGACTAGAGTGACTAGGGTGACTTGGGTGACTGGTGACTTGGGTGACTAGAATGACTATGTTGACTTGGTTGACTAGGGCGACTTGGGTGACTAGTCTGACTTGGGTGGTCTGACTTGGGATCTTGTTTACTGTGGGTAATGTCGACTGAGATATCGGTCGACATAGCGGTCGATATAGCGGTCGACAGTCGGTCGATAGTCGGTCGACAGTCGGTCGATAGTTGGTCGATAGTCGGTCGATAGTCGGTCGATAGTTGGTCGATAGTCGGTCGATAGTCGGTCGATAGTCGGTCGATGGTCGGTCGATAGTGGGTCGATAGTCGGTCGATAGTGAGATAGACTATCGGCCGAGTATCGGTCGATATTCCGTCGACGCACCTCGACTTACTATCGGTCATATGTCGGTGATATATCGGTCAACTGTCGGTGATATATCGGTCAACTGTCGGTGGTATATCAGTCAACTGTCGGTGGTATATCGGTGAACTGTCGGTGGTATATCGTCAACTGTCGGTGGTATATCGGTCAACTGTCGCTCAATATTAGTCGGGTGTTAATTTATCAGGTGAGTCCAATGGATTTTTTTTTTAAGCAAAGACGTCATTAATTACTGTTATCATGCGATGGGGAACATGTGGCAAAGCAAGGCGCGATTACGCTATGAAGAGAACCGAAGAGCACTGGGAACTAAGGACATGATAACCTTTTTTTTCCAGTTTGTGTCATCACCGATCGTCTGAGTTTTAGCTGTTAAACAGAACCTGTCTCAGCCTAAGTTGAATCTGCTGCTCCTGTGGTCCCGCAAAAATGTAGGAAAATGTAGGAAATGCTAAGTGTCGACCGACCATCGACCGAGTGTCGACCAATTACTGACCGACACATCGGTCAAGTATCGACCAACTATCGACCAAGTATCGGCAAAGTGTCGGCGAAATGTCGGCGAAGTGTCGGTGAACGAAAAGCTATATTGGCCGAGACACATCTGGAACAACTATTACCTAAGTTGAATCTGCTGCTCCTGTGGTCCCGCAAAAATGTAGGAAAATGTAGGAAATGCTAAGTGTCGACCGACCATCGACCGAGTGTCGACCAATTACTGACCGACACATCGGTCAAGTATCGACCAACTATCGACCAAGTATCGGCAAAGTGTCGGCGAAATGTCGGCGAAGTGTCGGTGAACGAAAAGCTATATTGGCCGAGACACATCTGGAACAACTATTGGCCGTGTCTCGACCGAGTGTCGACCCACTATCGACCGACTATCGACCGACTATCAACCGCTATATCGACCGACTGTCGACCGACTATCGACCGAGTGTCGACCAAGTATCGACCGAGTGTCGACCGAGTGTCGACCGACTATCGACCGAGTGTCGACCGCTATATCGACCGCTATATCGACCGATATCTCTCGGTCGACATTACCCACAGTAAACAAGATCCCTGACTTGGGTGACTACGGTGACTTGGGTGACCTGGCAGACTAGGGTGACTTGAATGACTAGGGTGACTTGGCTGACAGGAGTGACTTGGGTGACTAGGGTAACTAGGATGACTGAGGTGCCTTTGGTAACTTGGGTGACTATGGTGACTATTACTAGGGTGACTTGAGTGACTAGGGACATTATTTGCATGAATTTGTGACAATTGCATAGCAAGTCTTGTTTGAGATTACTGATACAAAAAATTAAGAACTTACCTTTTGTTATTATTGAACATATTTCTCTCTTAACAACCTGATCAGACTTGGAGGTTGAATGGGCTGTAAAACATAAATAACAATGAGCCATGGAATTTTCAATAGCCATCAAAGTCGCTGACAACAAAGACAACATGTAATACTTTACATAAAATAAATGTAATCATATGACCTGCAAGTATTATTCAACACTACTCATTATTTTGCTGTTTTGTAGTTCAAATTTTTACTACATGTAATTAGTTCTATGAAGAATTAAAATATGGAAGTTCACAATAAATTAAAACAAATACACTGGAGAAGAATAAAATGAACAGTTAATAGATGCAGTACTTTTTCTGCATCTCTCTTTCATCATTTCTGGTGTTTCTGTTTGCTCCACTCTTGCTACCCTATAAAAAAAACAAAATCGTTAGCGTAGAACTACCTGTACGGCTGTAGACTACAGCACCACT